CCTGTCCTGCGGGGGAAGGGAGTCCAAGCATTTTCTGACACCCCAGTGTGCCTAGACATGCTAGTGCTCTGGGGACAGAGTGGCACCACAAGAAGGGAATCTGGACCCACTGGGAAGATGAATCTTTGCCACAGATGCCCGACCCTGAGTGCCACAGGGATTCTGAAATGAGGAGTGTCCACAGCGGCACCTTAGGACAAGAAGAGGGGCAGCCTAGGTGGGGGACGGTGCAAACTGAGGTGCCAGGGTAATAGCTAACACTTTGTGACAGCTTACTGTGTGCCAGGCATTGCTCCAAGTGGTTTTGCATGGCTGCATTTATTTAATCTTCACTACAACTAAGGCACAGAGAAGTTAAGTAACTTGCCCAAAGCCACACAGCTAATAAGTGGCAGGGCTGTGATTTGAACCCAGACAGTCTAGTTCCAGAGACCATGCTTGTAACCACTCTGCTCTGCTGTGAGTGAAGCTATCTGAGTGGAGGGAGGGTTTGGGCAGGAGGAGTTGGAGAGGCAGGGTCGTGGGGGAGGAGCTGGTAATGGACTTAAATGCCAAAGAGAGGGCTGGAGAGCCGATCTGATAGGCGACAGGGAAGTAAGAGACCTGAGAGCCTCTGCATGTCACCTGTACCCTTTCCCACCTATGCCGCCCCCTACTTCTGACTCCTGCCAGCTCACAGGAGGAGAGAATGTTGTAGGTGATCTAAGACTCAGTGCTTTTTCTGCCCAGCCCTTCTCCTTGCTTCTCGGGGAGCTGCCAATCACAGAGCCTCCCACCTCCCACCTTCCACCCCACTTCCCACCCAAAGGGCCAGGTACATGACCAAAGAAGCCTGGCCAAGCAGCACCCTTCCTTGGGATTTGAAATTTTAGAGCCCAAAACAGAGCTCCTCCTTCTCTGCAGAGAGCTTTCGGCAGAGGGAACCCTGGAGCTGCCCATGGGCAAGGTTCCAGCTGTAGAGAAGTCTAGCATGAGAAAAGGGGGCTGGCACCGCCAGCCAGCAGAGAGGAGAGGCCAAGAGAGGGAGCCTGTGCTGCAGGAGTCTCACGGCCAGTCTCCCCGGGGCTTGCGGCTCCCCAGCCTTCCCCAACATTTGGTTTCATGACCCAGTACCATCCCCTTGGTGCCTAACTGGCTCAAATTCAGTTTCCATCTTCTGTCACCAGGAGGGCCCTAAAAAAGGTAGTGCCTCCCTGAGTCTGGAGGAGAGGGGACCTTTGAAGTCTCCATGCAGAACCCAGGGGCTCCTGATGGGCATCCCCTCACCTCTCCCAAGAAGGGGGCTCCCTGGGCAGGCCCTGGTCCAGGTGGGGCCTGGGCAATGTTGGGGTCAGGGAAGAACTGTCTCAGCCTGGCAGGGAGACAGACCTGTGGACAGTGAGCACATGACATAGCATAATGGAGACTAGACTGTGTAGAAGTGCCACCCCCAGCCACAGAAGCTGGGGCCAAGCCCCCGTGCCCTGACCCGATCCGTCTCCATACAAGCTTGTAAGGAATCAGGGCAAGACGAGACCTGAGCCAGAGTCCAGCCGGCCTGGCCTGCTTGTCAGGAGGCTATGCTTGTCCCTGCTCAGGGAAAGAGACTGCTCCCTCTCTGAGTGGATGCGTCAGCCTGGGCCGGGCACAGCACACTGTTCCCTGGTCTTCCCCTGGTGTTGGGCCTGCCTCCAGACTATTTAGGGAGGTTCTCGAAGAACAGCAACAGCACAGCAAAACCTCAGCACAGAATCGTGGTAACCATCATTCCTTTCCCTGGTGCCCAGTCCTTCTGCCCAGGGTTCCAGCGAGTCTCCGTCTGGTCCCTGTACCCCAAGTGGCTGTGCTGAGTTGGCAGCTGCCTGCCCCAAGCCGAGGGGGCCCACTGTCCAGGGCGCCCTCACCTTCTGCTGTGTGCCTTGTACTCTGCTCTGGCCCAGGTTGCTGGGCTGGGTTTCTTGGGTATATTTCTTCTGCTCCCCAAGACAACGGTCATTCTGAGATGGAGAAATGTGCCTGGAGGCTCAGGCCTGTGAGACTCCGTTTCCCAGGTCAGCTGCTATACTGAGCCCTCTCTTCCCTCTAAGCTGAAAACTTGTCTCTCCCCTTAAAAATAGTTAGACAAAAGAGTATTTATATATATGTACGCATATATGCATACATATATTTAGAAAACTGAATTACTTTAATTAACTAAACTTCAATTTTTAAAATGGTTAAAAAGTAGTTAGGAAAAAAAAAAGTGCTTCCTAAATCCTGGAGCATTTGAGTCTGAGGATGCTTCATGAGGATTTGGATCTGCCGTTTTCTATGCTGGGGACCCAGCAGGGTGACATAAGGGAGGGGACAGGGGCCCTTGGTAAGCTCAGCAGGAGACCGCTAAGAGAGGAAGCTGTGTGGTTCTTGGCCACGTGGCTGGGGATCTAGGCTAGAGCTGTGATGCCAGGGGGATAAATTATGGCCACATGCTTCCACTTGGCTTTCGGACTTAAAGTGTAACCCAAAGGGCAACTGACAAATTATGACTAGCTCTTTCTGGTGCCCAAGCTTGGCTCCAACCTTCGTGTGTGTGTGTGTGTGTGTGTGTGTGTACACGCCTGGGTCCCGTGTATGCTTCTGAGCACACGTGTGCATGCAGCATGTATACCTGCTAGGGTTCTGCTCCGTCTGCCCACGTCTCCTGCTCATGGCAAGGGCTAGTCTTCAGCAAAGCTGGGAAGTTTGCGGGTTCTGAGGCTGGCACTCCACCCCCCTCGCTGGCCCTGGCCCTGGCTCTCATCCCTTTCTTAGCCCGGCCTCTTGTCCTTCCCTTCTGCACTGTTTCCCCACCAGATGCTTCTCTTGACTGATAGGTGCCCAATTTTGATTTCCATCAAGGGGTTTATAGATGTAGTCTTTCCTTAAGGCCTTATAAATCAGATCTGACACTTCTCACCATCTCTGGAAACTACTTTTTAGTGAGAAAACATATTGGAACATCTGCACCTTTTATCTATCAGATAAGCTGCCAACGCCAGGATGTGCTGTTTCAGGTTTTTTTCCAGCCTGGCCTCAATCTCACTTTTCTGATTCATCAGACCTTTCTAGACCCTTCTCCTTCCCCAGATAGGGGAATAAAGGGCTCCTAATGCCATAGGAGGACTGAGAGCTGAGTTCTTGGGTTCCAGTCCTGTCTCTGCCAGTAAGCACTTTTGTGACCTTGGGCAAGTCCTTGCCTTTCTCTGGCCGTCAGTTTTCTTCTCTGTAAACTGGGTGCATTGAATAGCATCAAGCTCTCAGCCTAGGGGACTGTCATAACATCCAGGGTGACTTTTCAGGTTTGCAAATAGTTTATGTAGTTCCCTGCAGCTCTGATTTGTTTTAAATTACTGTAGTAGTCTGTTGGGACTGCCATAACAAAGTACCAAACCCGGGAGCTTAAAACAACAGAAATTTACTCCCTCACAGTTCTGGAGGTCAAAAGTCTGAAATCAGTAACACTGAGCTGAAATCAAGGATTCAGCAGAGCTGCACTCCCCCGGGGGCTCTAGGGGAGAGTCCATTCCTTGCCTTTTCCAAACTCTGAAGGCTGTGGCACCCTCAGCCTGTGGTCGCATCACTCCTAATCTCCCTCTACCTCCCTCCTCTAAGGATACTTGTGATGGTGTCTGGGGCCCACCCCGCTGCTCTGGGATACTCTCCCCATCTCAAGAGCCTTAACTTAATCACACCCACGAAGACCCCTTTTCCAGATAAATCTTACAGGTCCCAGGGATTAGGACCTGATATCTTCGGGGGCTATTACTCAGCCTACTATGATAGCGCTGAATCCACTGGGAAATGCCATCTATCAGTAAAAAGCAAGTGTGAGGTTTTCATGTTTGTCAGAGGGAAGCTGGAGTTGAAGAGGGTTGAGAAAAGTGAACAGAATGACCTGGAAGGAATGTGCTGAAGGAAACACAGACTAATTTAGCTTCAGCCACGTCAAGCACAATCAAGGGGTGAAATCCATCCACTCGACAAGACTGATCTCAGGCACGCGGTACCGAGGTGCCCTGTGGATAAAGTATTGTCTAGATCTATGAGGGTCTTCGGTTCAGCTGGGGGACCCTCATGGCAGGGCCTTAGATGCCAGTGGCTCCTGGTTCCACAGTGGACCCCAGGCTCAGAAAAGATGGAGCCCTCAGGACAGGCGGGCAGACTGGCTGCAGATGCCACGGTCTCAGGCATTTCGAGCACCCCAGGACTCCACGCCCTGCCTCGGTGCTCCCGGGGGTCCAGGTTCTGCCCACTGTCCACCCGCATTGTGGGAAGATGCTCACCTCTCAGAGCGCCAGACCAGCCTGCAGAAGCCCGGGGCCTGTCGGCTCCCATGAGGAGCCTGTCACGATGGAGCCCCTATGCCCACACATCCCTGCCTGCAGTCTCCTAGCATCAGGAGAAACAACGCGGGTGGCAGGGAACAGGGGGGTGTTTGGTGTCAGACTCATGTGGGTCCCAATCCTGGCTCTGCCGTTTGCCAGCTGAGTTTTCTTGGGCGTGTGATCTCACCTCTCTGATGTTGGTTTTGGCTTCTGTAAAATGGAGACCATGGTCTCAGGGTCGTTGTGGGGAGCAGCGAGGCTGTGCCCAGGAAATGGTGGCCATGCTGCTGCTGGGGAAGGGATTCCTACAGCATGTACTTGTTAACAGCAAAACCTGATACAGAGAAGAAAAGCCAGGAGACAGAGGCCTCCGGAGAGGCTGAGCTGGGTCTGTGCAGCTGAAATTACCAAGGAGCAGAAGCCATAAGGGAGCAGAGACAGCGAGTTGGAGGGAGGATAGAAGGAAGCAGGCAAGGTTAAGTCCAAATGTCTTGAGGCCTCTCCAAGACCCCACACGCCTGCCACGCTCCCTCCTCTGACCCTTTCTCCCCTTCTCCTCCAAATCTGCCGTGTCCAGTCTCACTGGCTCTTTTTCTCATTCCAGGGTTCCAAGCTCCTTCCCACCCCTGGGCCTTTGCACATGCTGTGCTCCCTCTCCGCCTGGCTAATCCTACTTACCATTTGGATGTTGGCTTAAACGTCACTTTTTCAAGGATGCTCTCTCACAAGGACAGGTTCCTCAGTTGTGTGCTCATTGCCACAGGTCGCTGGCTCTACCTCAGGGAGGCAGAGACCTTCCTTAGGTGAAGTTCTGAGGAGCGGGCACCCTGAGGCATGTCCAGACGCGCACAGAGGAGACAAAGAGAAAAAACAGGATCCAGTTAATACCCTAAGGCCCCTAGAGATGGATACTTCTACCTCCCCCCTCCCCCCTCCCCCACCAGGACAGGAGCCCGGGATCAGGAGGGGAGGGGTTTGTCTAGAGCCATGCAGCAGATCCCGGCAGGGCTGCTCTCCTGACCTCGGCTGAGGGCTCCTTCCAGTGCCCCAGGCTGTGGAGAGGGGAGCTGGGCTAATGAGAACGGGGGCCAAAATGGGAACCCGGGGCTGTGGGCCTGGAGGTCAGGGAAGGGGAAGCTGGGCCCGAGTGAGGGCTGGTGGCAGGGTCCCTCGGGCAAGCTTGCACCTGGCCTGCCCACTCAGCTCGCTGCCTCCTCCCAGGCTGAGCCTTAGGAGGCAGGCCCTGTGTGTGCCCAGACTTTTAACAGCCACCATGAAAGGACGGCTGCAGTTCTTAGCTGAGGGCATCTTAAACACTCTCTTCCCACATCCTTTTTTTCTTTTCTTTTCTTTTCTTTTGGTTCCTTATTAGATGAAAAGAAAACATCTCTGAGCTGGATGCATCTCTCAGTCACTGCAGGTCCCGGAGGTGGAACCTGAGCTGTTGGGTGGGGTGGGGGCTGGGGGGATGGTGTGACGGTTATCCTGAGAACAGGCATCTCACCTTATGCTTCTGCTGACTCAGCCTGGACCCCTGATCACCTGATCTAGTTCATCTTATTTGGAAGTCCTGGGCTTCCCCATGGCTCCTCTCATGTCATACCCCTACCCCTAACTCAGCCACACCCTCTATGCTTTTGAGCATCCATTGGCTCTGAAAGTCTTGGGTTCAAGGAGAGCTGATGCCTGGTGGAGCCAAGAGGGACTAAGTCATAATTAGTTGCTTCTTTACTCTGGAAATGACTTTAGCTGTCCATCTCAGACAAACCCTCCCAGACCCCAGCTCTGAGATAAACTAAGGGCCCAGACCTGGCTCTGTGACCCAAAGGAATGAGCCTCCCGGATCTTCTCAAGCACAAACACCAAGAGCCACAAAGTTCCTTCTTCCATTCTTGGTCCAAGGCAGAGTAAATATTTCCCTAAAAAATGCTCTGTCCCCGAGCACTGAGCAGAGAGGCATGTGAGTGGCGGGGGAAATTCTTTAGGTCTAGGGGAGGTCAGGAAATGGGACCACACTTCTTACAGCCAACCCTCTTCCCCGTGGTTCCAGCATTATGCCTCCAAGAATTAATTAAAGATGAACACAGGCCTAGGGAGCATATAGCTTGTCAGTTTTGTTTCCAGATGATGCCCTGAAAAGAAGGTGAGGGGGAACTGTGGGGGGAGAGAGAGGCTCTAGGAGGAGGTGTGTACCTGTGAGCATCCAGCGTTCCTTGGCTGTCTCCTCATGAGCAGTGATTGCTAGTGAGGACGCCTTTGGCTGTAGGTAAGAGAAACCTCTGGCCCAACAGGACCAAACAATAAGAAATTTTAGTATCTCACAGAACAAGAGGCCCAAATGTGGGCGGTGGGCTTAGGGGCTCCGGGGCCAGCTCTGGCTCTGCTTTTCCACTACTGGCTTCACTCTTATTCTGAGAGAGATCAGTCCTTCCAAGTGTTCCCTTTAATTAAAAAAAGAAAATCAATATGGGTTCATTATCCATACCTCCCAGCAGTCTTCCTCTCACATCTCATTGGCCAGAACTGTTCAAATATCCATTCCTAAACAACAGTTGGCAATAGAAATGGGGCCACTATGACTGCCTTAATGAAACCCACCACCTTCTAGAGGAGGTTGCCTCTGAACACAGCTTAAGCTCTGTTCATGGGAAAAATGACTGGTAGGTGGGGTGGATGTGAGGTAAGCCAGCAATGCTTACCACAGGCAGTAAGGCTGAAACTAGTTTGGCTTTTTTTCTCTACATCACTTGGAAAGAAAAAGCAATTTTTTTTTAATGATAAGAAAGAAAAGAGATGAGAGTCATGGCAGGTCAGAGAGTGAGCTGGACATCTGGACTAAGCTCCCATCTGTACTTTCTGTTGCTCACAGTACTTTTCTGCCCACTGTCTCATTTGATAATCATAATGACCCTGCAGGAAGGCAGGGAAGTGATTATTATTTCCACTTGACAGGTGAGGAAGAGGAGACAGCATGAGCTAAAGTGACTTTCCAAGATCCCTTCCAGGCACCCTTTTTATTCACACCACCTAGGCATATTAACATGAAATTGTGGCTTATCATTTAGGGAAAAAGATTCATTCTCACTGGTTACATGGTCCCGGGGTTAGCCTGTGGAGTCAAGCACCCAGATTCTAAGGACACTTCTTGGGATCTCCAGGCCATTTTCTTCTCCCCCACCTCATAATAGGAGATGCAAGGATGTCCTTGTTGGCCCCTGATCAAAGGCCTTTTCTACCTGTATGGAAACAGGGGGCTCCCAAACCAACCTTGCCCTCCAAGGAGTGGCACTGTCCTTGGTACTGGCTGCTGCTTCCCACAACCTGCTGCCCATCTCTATTTAGCTTCAAGGCTGAATCTTTAAAACAAGATGTAGAGGGCTTTATGGGAATGACAGTTCACCCTAGCATCACCCTTGTTACAAAACTGAAGAATTCATCTATGGCAGGCAAGGTAGGGATAAACTGAAAATGATTTTTGAGTTCCAGACACATGCTTCACATGGCTCTGTTTATAGCACTAAACAGTCTATATTCTTTAGTTCAAGAGTCAGCAAACTATGACTCACAGCCAAATATGGCTCGCCATCTGTTTTTATAAATAAAGTTTTATTGGAACATAGCTATGTTCACTTTTTTACTTATCGTCTATGGCTGCTTTTGCTCTACAATAAACTGGCCCTTTATAGGAAATAAGTTGCCAGCCCCTGCTCTAGTTTATTCACTTTAGGGCATAAGATTTTTGTTCTGTGCACAATCTTGTATTATTGATGATTCCATTTATCCCTATTTTTCCTCCCTAACTCAGGATGGGGTCTTTCCCTAGCTCCCTCCATTCCTTGATAAACAGGCTTCCCTACCTGTATGAGTCCTAGATATAATCTCATCTCTTTAAATTCAAACTACTGTTCTCAAATACTAACTCAGTGGTGTTCTTTCGCTTCTTCCCACAGGTGTTTCCCATACTCATTCATCTTAGACACACAGCCTTCTGCTTACCTTCCCTGAGCCAAGCCTTTAGTTTAGACAATGCCAGCAGTGAATCTCATATTTACCCCTAAGAAACTCATGCTTCTTTTTAACCTTTCTCAGTGTTAGGACTTTCTTAGTTAGAAATAACAGAAGCCTAATCCAAATTAGCCTAATTTAAAAAATTTCTCTGAAAAGTCCAAAAATACAGCTTACTGCTTCCAGCAGTCAGATGATTCCACCAGAACTGAGTGGCACATAATCTTTTGGTTCTGTGTTCCTCAAAACTGGCTTCATTCAGCCCTAGCAAAGGGCTGCAAACAGCTTCAGCTCCTCACATCCTCTCAACATCCTCAGCAGAAGAGACATCCCCTCCATTCTCAAAAAAGAGCCCAGAACTGAGTCTCAGTGGCTCAGGTGGGATCACATGATCACCTCTGAGCCAATCACTGGCCAGAGGAGTGGAATATTGTGATTGGCCAGGCTTGGGCTATGTGGTGGGTGGATGTTGGGTAGGTAACCCCACTGGATAGATGAACTCAGACAGGCAGAGGGCTGTTCCACAGAGGAAAATGCTCCTACCCACAGGGTGAAGGGTGAGTGGACGCTGGCCAGGCAAGGCCTATAGGCAAACATCTCACCCCACCTGCTGGGTTCATATTATTTCCCCCGTATGGATTTTCATTTTCCCTTTCTCTGCTGTCTTTTCAGAGGCTATAACGTCTGAGTCTCTCCCAGCTTACACGATAAAGCCTGTGCTTCTTAGGCTTTAGGCTACAACATAGCCTCCGTCTTGCCTGCCCCTCCACCCTCTCTTTTATCTCATAAGCTCTAGCATTGTTGAGCTTCCACCAGAAATTCCCCAAATGTCCTAGGCCTTCACTGTGTCTTTGCATATTCCATTCCCTCTGCTTTTCCCGCTTTGTCTTCATGGCACACTTTTGATTGACTGCCCAGATCAAGAACCCCCTTCTCCAGGAAGCCCTCTCCCCACCTCCAGGGAAAAAGAAAGCATCCCCTCATCTGCGCTAGTACCACTCCTGTACCAGTGTCCTACTGTCCCTCTGACCTTGCACTTACCTCACAAGGTTATCTCTCTGTGCTTATCTTTGTCTTCTCCTTTGGACTGTGGGCTTCTTGAGGGTAGGGATATTTTTAGGAAATGCTTGTTGAACAAAATCGTCTTCCCAATGAGCTGGCCTTTTGTGTGGCTCCAGCCTTATGGCAATTCTAGTCCCTCTAAAATCTCATAGAATGAACAAGAGACCACAGGCTTAAAAGGGGAATGAAGCCAATTAGATGCACTACTGATTAATTCAGTGGACACTCGGTGAACACTTTATGGGACAAGCCCTATGCTAAGTAATGGAACCATGGAGGTGACCAGGCATGTTCCCAACCTCAAGGTACTCATTGTACGATAGAGAAATGAGGATGTCTAAACTGCGTGTCTTTTCATCGCTGTCTCCAGTATCTAAACTCGTACCTGACACATAGTTGACGTTTAATAAAGAGTTGCTGAACAAGCAAATGGATAAATGAGTAAGAGATGAAAGGGATGCTATGGAATGCATAGGTAAGGCTCTGTCCAAGAGCAGGATAAGAAAACAGAGCCAGGGAAGGGTCATTTTAATCATTTCTTGTTTACTGAGGGTGTCAGGCACTGTGCCAGATGCTGGGAATTCAGGGATAAAGGGCATTCATCCCTCATTCTCTAAGATCCCACAGCCCAGGGGACAAGGCCAGATGAGAAAATCAGTGCTTACAAGACAGTGTGAGAATTACCAAGCAGAGATATGCCAAAAGCTGTGGTACGAGAATGTGGTGGGGGAGTGCAAGGAGGGGAAGCTGATGAATGCAC